TTCATGGCCTACTTCCCAATCAATAATTTAATATTAATGTACAATTATTGTACTTCAACTTGTTGACACTTGACACACTCAAGTTCACTTTTTTTTTTCCATCTGAAAATGGTTCCAATATGGTTGTGTATCTTTTTTTCTTACTTGTTCTACAAATCAAGTTGTGAGCTCATAACTTCTCTTCCTGGACAACCTCCAAATATATTCTTCAAACAACACTCTGGTTATATTGTTACAAATTCTCAACATGGTAGATCTCTCTTTTATTATTTTGTTCACAAAATGCAACATCACTTCCCCTTACTCTATGGCTCAATGGAGGTACATACACTTATTCTATGTTGCTCGGACTCTTCAAAAATATAGATGGATGTGTCGGATCTCGACACAGATAGATACTAACTTCAATGAGCATATATATGAATGCATTGATGAGTAATTCTTCCATGCTTATAGACTATTGATTTTCCAAATTGGCCAAATTTTCCTATATAAGGAAGTCACTCTCCCTCACATCGAAACAAAAAATAAATCAAAAAAGCATTAATCCTTGCACGCTTAGTGACCATTGATATTTTACCAAATGTGCAATTAGTTTTACTGCATTCCCACATAATTTGCTATTCGAGGTTCATTTTTATTCGACTGAAATTGATCCCATCCACATCTTCTTTCATTTGATTTGTCGATTCGATTTGATTTTGACAGTTTTGAGTATGTATAAGGAAAAATACATAGCCTCGGTACTAATCCTTGCATACTCTTAGTGACCATTGATATTACCCAAGTTAAATTGAACAGATACATCTCATTAATTTTGGCACTTAATTCAATAACACCAATTAATCCAAAAGTAGGCAACCTCAACAGTCTCTTAATTATCCAAGTGCCTATATAATACAGCTTGTACTAAGTACTCCACAAAATCAACATCTTTTTAAATTGATTAGCAACAGCTGTTGAATTCTACTATAATGGGTTCATCTGAAAGCACTGCTAATTCGAATCAAACAGTTGCTTGGTCAGATAATGATTCTGATTCTGATTCTGATGTTGAATTACATTGGGGGAATGAACATGAAGATGAGATACCGCAAAGATCTACTTTGGTTTTGGGTTTCCTACTGTCTATTCTCGTAGCAGTACTAATAGTTCTTTAATTTAGGGAATCATGATTATATATGTTTTGTCCTCTTAATTAGCTATAAAATGTTCTTTAATTTGTTTAGTGTCTGACTAATTTTATCTCTTTGGTTACAATATTATCTATTGAATGAACAAGAATTTATGCTTATAAATTTTTCTTTTTCAAAACATCTGAATTTCAATTCTTGTACATCGTGTTACAAGATCAAAGGAAAAAGGATACAATGATTAGCCTTAGCATATATATAATTGTGTTAGTATCCAACTATATAAAGGGAGACATAAAAGTTTAACTCAAGAGATATGTCAAATAAAAGCATATGAGTTAATATCCTAAATTGTCACTCAACTTTGAATAGTTTACTTAAAAAGTCACTCAACTTTATTTTATAATACTCATTTAGAAAGTCACTCAACTATTTATATTTCACTTAGAAAGTCACTTATTTTAATTATTTTATTGAGTTTTGTTGAAATATAGTTTTTGTTTTTACGTTTTCTTTAAAAAAATAGTAGAAGATTATAACTGTCCGTTTTTTTATTACTTATCAATTCCAACCTTTCTTTTTGAAATTTTTTTAACAATTTAATTCTAGTTTTACAATTACTAGAACGGAAAAGTTTTTTTTAAAAAAATTTTTATGGTAAAGGTCTGAATTTGCCCCTAAATTACATAATTTAGAGCAAATTTACCTTTCCTTAAGAAAAGTGTGTCGTTTTAAAGCTCGCCGTTATCAAAATAGCTCAATTTTGTACTTTTGGGCTAGGGACGACAACATAAAGGACAAATTTGGAATATTCACAAAGTTTAAGGACAAATTCGGATCATCACATAGTTCAAAGACAAATTTATTTAAATCTAACTATGAAAAACCATTAAAAGAGGATAAATGCATGTCATTGTACCATCAATTTAATTAATTGAACGCGTAGACTTTTTTTTTCTTTAATCCCAACTTCATAATTATTTAAAATTATTGTCTTTCGACGTTTATTACTTGATTTATCCAAAATCCAATTGGAATAGTTATTCTGATAAATTGTAGGAGATCTTTTAGTTAAAATCAAACATTATGTGATTCTAGGTAGGAGAGAAGTAAAATAGTGTGTATTTGAACTTCACGAATGATTATGAGTTGTCCTTGAACTTACGAATGATCTACATTTATCCCCCGTGTTATGCCTACAAGGGCGAAATTGACCAATATTTTGTTAACAACGAGGATAAAAACCGGGACGTACACTTCTTAAATGGATGGTAAATTTGCTCTAAGTCATATATAGTTGAGATTTTTCCCTTAATAATAAAAGCACTTGCTTCAGAACTAGTAATTCTAAATCTTGGATTCATCTCTACGTTGTTGGGATCGAACAATGAAAACACGTGTATATATATTTTGTTGATTAATTTGCAGATTGGAGGATGGAGTCAATCATTTGGAGGGATAAGAGAAGGCAAAAATGTAACGTATTTAACATTTGCTACAGTTAGAGGTGCAGCTCATGAAGTTCCTTATACTTCTCCTTCACAATGCTCCTACTCTTTTTAGAGCATTTTTTAGAGGATATCCTCCACCACGAAAGAGCAGCGCCATTGCAGCAATGTAGCTGTGTATTTCTATTAGGCATAATACATAAATTGGACCTTTAAATTGACTTCAAATTACATAACTTTGACCTTTAACTTTGTGAGTGCACAAATAGGCACTTTAACTAGCCAAAACTTAAACAAAAAAACACTCGGATCCTACCTGGCAAAATGCGTGAAATACACTCAAATTAGGCGCGTCAGATTTAAAAATCAAGGGGCCCAACAGTAAAAAAAAACATTGAAAGGACAATTAAACCCTCTTTCTATTTTTTCAACAATTTCCCCCTCTTTTTTGCATTATTTGTTGTTCACTGCAAAATGCAAGTGACATTTAATTAATTTTTTGTAATTGCGAAAAAAAATTATAATGAAGTTTTTTTTTTTGGCAAGATGGGTGAGTATACACTTGTAAAAGTCGAATGCAATTTAAGTTCAAAGGTTCTCGATCAATGAATTCAATCCACACTTAAGGGACTCCTTACATTTTGATTAAGCATCAGATTGCTACTCAAATTTTACAAAAATCTCTGAAAAATTCATTCAGACAATTTATCAAACACTTTAAGTGCACCATTTTACTTAATAATTTTTAGCACTGTATGTTCATTTTTTGGCCTCCAAAAATTCATAATTGTAATTTGCTATTCACTATGACAATCACAATACATAAAACACCTTGTTTTTTCCATTAAGTATTTGACAGCTTAAAGCACAAATACACTTCAAACTAAAGAAAAGAAGAGAAGTTCATTGATTCTCATGTCTTCCCATATTTATGGGCTGCTCTAAAACAATTTTGCAACAAAAACATTAGTTTTCTCTAGTGATTCTCATATTAGCTTGAGCATTTGACCAACAATATGCAAATTCTTGTTTGTAAAATGTTGAACCTTGATACCATGACTAAATTGAGGAAGAAGAATAGATTGCCCTTCAAGTATATGAAATTTCAGCACATATCTTGAACAATTTTTTCTTTGATTTGAATATAAGGGGCATGAATTTTAGAAATTTAGATTAGGGTTTTTTTTAGAAGAAAGAGGAGAAGAGCGTACTAATTTTTTTTTCCTAAAAGTGAATTTGTTTTCACTTTCACCTTATTCTATATTATAATTTATTTTTATTATTTTTAAAATTTAGGTGTATTTATTTTAGTTAGTTGGCAGCAACTGATTGGTTCACTTTTCCACGTCATAGCATTTGTATATCACGCGTTTTGCCTGAAATATTTGAGTGTTTTTTTGTTTAAATTTCGAATAGTTAAAGTGTCTCTTTGTGCACTATCAAAGTTAAAGGTCAAAGTTATAATTTAAAGTCAAGTTAAGGGTCTTATTTATGTATTATGCCTCTCTATTATATCGATTTGATGAATCTCTTTTCGCCAGTGGATTAAAATGTTTGAATTGGATTACACGTTAAAACATTAAGCTATTGTATTGATGTAAATATTGTTCTGTTGAAAAAAAAAATAAATATATTTAGGTTGAGAGGCATATATCCAGCTTTTTTTCACATTCTGGCCTGTTCATAACAGATGTCTCTTAATCATCTTAAAATCTAATGGATTTCACAAAATTGTTTGAAATGTGAGGAAAATTTTGGAGTTGAAGAGTTAAAAGTGATAATAATAATAATAATAATAATAATAATAATAATAAAAGGTGGGTGGAGTTGTGACAAAAATGGTAGCATTGGAAGTGGGTTGGCGGGTCCGACGAAGATGAAGAAATGGTGGCAAGAGATTTTGAAGAAGAAAGAAATGAAAAAACAGTTGAAATAACCAAAAAAAAAAAGAGGAAAATTGATCATTTTTTAACTTATCATGCTATTTAAGAGAGTGCACACACTCTCTATGTCAGGTGACCGAAAAAGAATATACTAATACTATTCAAAATTATTTGAAGGTAATAGAACACCGCAAAAGTCAAGTATCTTCTTTAAACAAAAGTCTTGAGGGGTAACAATTATTTGTTCTTTTAAAATTTTTGTTACAATTCCATTAGCTAAGCTGGAAAACAAGAGCAAATTATGTGTGCCAATTTTGTAACAGAAAGAACATAGTTAAGCTTTTGAACACCTTTCTTTGAAGTTGGTGAAAAATTGATGTTTCTTGGTAGTAGTATAACATATTTAAACATTGATGTAATATTTAAATCTTCATGGCCTACTTCCCAATCAATAAATTAAAATAATTTAATATTAATGTACAATTATTGTACTTCAACTTGTTGTCACTTGATACACTCAAGTTCACTTCTTTTTTTATTCCATCTGAAAATGGTTCCATGGCTGTGTATCTTTTTTTCTTACTTGTTGTTCTACAAATCAAGTTGTGAGCTCATAACTTCTCTTCCTGGACAACCTACAAATATATTCTTCAAACAATACTCTGGTTATATTGTTACAAATTCTCAACGTGGTAGATCTCTCTTTTATTATTTTGTCGAAGCGGATTCAGAAAATGCAACATCACTTCCCCTTACTCTCTGGCTCAATGGAGGTACATTTCTCCTATGTTGCTTAGACTCTTCAAAAATATCGATATGTGTGTCGGATCTGACACAGATACAACAACATTTTTGGAGAGTCTGAGCTATATAATATTATATACCACTTCTCGATTGACCTTGATTTTCATTTTATATTGATTGAATCCATTATGTTAGGCCCTGGTTGTTCATCTGTGGGGTTTGGTGCTTTTATGGAACATGGTCCTTTTCAGCCAGGGAAAGATGGGAGACTAATCAAAAACAAGTATTCTTGGAATTTAGGTAATGTTTCTTTATTTATTCTTTTAGGGTAGAAAGTTAGTAGGTAATTGAGTGTTGTCTCATTTCCTAGCAGGATAGATTGGTGCATTGTATGTTTCTCGATTCTTATTTATTTACCAGTAGTAGCATTTGTCTTATAGTTGGCCTATCTTACGACTTTTGTTATACCTCGTTATTTACTTACTGTGCTTCAGTTATCACAGTAGTTGGATATGTTGCCCCTCTTTGGTATGTTAGATTGTGATTTCCTTATTATATTCTATGTCCTCTATACTTCTGTATTTTCTGTTATCCGCTCTGATGTTCGTTATTTGAGTTGAGAGTCTTCCGAAAACAACCTCTCTACCTCCTCGTGGTAGTGGTAAGGTCTACGTACACTCGGTCCTACCCAAACCCCGCTTTTGGAACTATACTGGTATTGTTGTTGTTATTATCTTGAATGCTCATATTGAAAAGATTTCATTACCTTGAAAATCAGATAACAATGACTGATTTTGATTGGTATAATACGAAACAGAATCGAACATGTTATACGTTGAGTCCCCGATTGGAGTAGGATTTTCATACTCGAATACAAGCTCAGACTACACCAATTTGGATGATGTTGCAACAGGTACACCACTTTTCCAGAAATAGCTAATAATATTTGGTACTAAAATGCAATTGAAATGTCTGATTTTGCACCTTTTTAATCTTTTATATAGCAAAGGAGAATCTCCAATTTATACTCAACTGGTTAGAGAAATTCCCCGAATATAAGAACTCGGAATTATTCTTAGCTGGTGAAAGTTATGCAGGTAATATATCTGAACTTTTATGTTGCTCAAACTCTCCAAAAACTTGTCACACCCGTGTCAGATCCTCCAAAAGTAGTACACATTTGGAGGATCCGACACACAATGTTGACATTTTTGAAGAGTCCGAGCAACAGAGGACTTACTCGCCTATGTCCATTTTGTTCTTTCGGTTGCAAAGATTCGTTAATTGTTCTGTTTTTTATTTCTATTTTAGGTCACTATATTCCACAGCTTACAGTATTGCTGCTTGATTACAACAGAAATCCTAATGTTAAACCTATCAAGCTTAAATCAATTGCAGTAATGTTCACATTACCCTTGAACTATTTGTTGATTAATTGTTTTATATTCAAATCTTCGGTTTATCCAATGACTTTTGCAGCTGGGGAATCCACTTCTAGATCTTGAAATAAGCGTCAAGTCTTCCGAATATCTATGGTCACATGGTGCAATTTCTGATGAACTGCTTACTATGAAAAGAACAATCTGTAACGAAACGAGGTTGTTGTTGGAATCAATACATAATAATATGTCTAACGACTGCTCGGAAGTGGGGGAACTCACCAATGAGGAGATGGGAAGTGATACAGACATGGGCGATCTGCTCGCACCAATATGTGTATCTTCTGGTGCAGCAGGACAACTAGGAGTCCTTGGAACACTTGCCACAATACACAAAAAGGTGTAAATTTGAATATTTTCTCTTAACTTTCTTCGCAGTTGGAACTAACTCATTGCAGTTATTCTTCTGACAGGACGTGCGAAAAATTGGTGATCCATGCCTTAGTGATAGGATAAATATGTACCTTAACAAGCCAGAAGTTCAAAAGGCACTACATGCCAACACCACTCACCTGCCATATGCCTGGGATTTTTGTTTGGGGTTAGTTCTTTCCACTTTTTACTTTCTTTCGTGTTCTGAAGCATTTGTATCTTCTTATTTAAAAGCTTAAACTGTTAGACAGAACATACGTTTAAATAAGTCTGTATGTTAATATCTCAAAAAATTGCAGGCACCTTCAGTATCAAAGAGGTGATTTAGCCATAAATGTTATACCTCTATTGTCAAATATTCTAAAAGAGAATATCCAAGTTCTGCTTTACAGGTTAGTTCATTACTACATTTGAAGTTACTATAATCAAATTTCCTCTGATCATGACAATTGTAAAAAGACATAATACTAAACTGACACTCAAACTTGGCTTACCTGACAAGTAAACACTCCAACTTTGAGTCTGCACTTGTCTCCACTCTGCCACAACTTACAAAAATAATTATATAGACATCTCCAAAATTTATGTGCCATGAGGTCCACAAGATACTGTGAGGATAAGTTTGATAGTTAAATTGTCAGTTGAGATCAAGTTGAGGTATCTAGATGTGCATTTTCAAAGTTAAAGTGCTTACTTGTCAGCTGAGGCCAACTTTGAGTGTATTCAAGCCCTGTAAAAAGGGAAAAGGGAAAAAATATCCAAAATATTGTAAATAGGTCAACTTTACCCTGCTACGTGTTTAGCAAAAAGGTGCCCTTGTTGTTAGTCAACTAGCTCAAATGACCCTCCAATTTAGCTGAGTACCGGTGAGGATTTTTTTTGTGCCAAAGTGTAACCGAGAGCAACTTTTACATATTTTAAATAGTTGAGAGGTATTTTTGGTCATTTTCTTTCGTAAATGACATTTAGTCTTGGTACTTTTAAAACTTTGTTATTGATACTACTCTTAATGAGATTGTGTATGTTTTGTTTTTTTTCCAGTGGAGACCAAGATACAAAAATCCCACTGACCCAAACTAGGAAAATTGCTAAACTACTTGCTAGAGATTTAAAGCTAGTTGCTTTAGACAAATATGGTCCTTGGTATGATGACATGCAGGTATGTGAATACATCCACTGTTTTCAGTTTTGGATCATACAAAATAATTATCTTAAAAACATTTATTTATAACAGTTGAAGTGTGTGACCATCTCTTCTAAAAGTTTAAGCTGTTAGAGAGAACACACTTTTTGTTATTTGAATTCGATTTCAGGAGCTCTGCCTGCTCAGATACCAATTAAAAGTGTATCACCTCCTCATCTAAAAGCTTTAAACTATTAGACTGAGCACACGTAAACATGTGTATATATAATTTGTTAATCAATTTGCAGATTGGAGGATGGAGTCAATCATATGGAGGGGTAAGAGAAGGCAAAAATGTAACATATTTAACATTTGCTACAGTTAGAGGTGCAGCTCATGAAGTTCCTTATACTTCTCCTTCACAAGCTCTTACTCTTTTTAGAGCATTTCTGAAAGGACAATCTCCATCGCGAAGGAACAACACCATTCGAGCCAACAAGTTGCATAACCCTATCGATATGATGAACCTCTTTTCTATTGCAAATTAATTAGATAAGTGTTTCCTTGTGTATGAGTTTCATTATATAAGGCTTTAACTTGTTTGGTTTTGAAAAATAAGAATAAAACATATGTGTAAGATTTTCACCACATAGAAAGTGTAAAATCTTGTTTGTTTGTATTTAATAAAGATACTTTAAATCTTAAGCATTTATATCTCAGTTATTAAATGAGTTTATCTTTTAGGTATGAATTTTAATTATTAAATATAGGGATGTGCATTATTCAGATTAAATCAAAAAATCAAATCAAATCGAATTTTAATTTGGATTGTTTTTTTGGTTAATTATTTTTTTTGTTTAATTTTGGATTAAGATTTTATTTTTTTAATTTTTTTGATTTGGTTTCGAATTTAAAAAAAATAAAAATTGGATAATCAAAACAATCGAATTATTATATTTTATGTTTGAATATTTATTGATATACTTTTAAGTATTGTGTTTTAATATTTTATTGGCGATGTAGATAAGAAAGTATATTTAATTGATTCAATATTATTACTACGCCTTGCACTTTTGAGCCAGTGAACGTAGTTGTGGATTTCTAATTTTACTTATATAATAAAGACCCAACTAGGTCAATTTTTATTTTTCTTTAAAATAACTTCTCCTTGTATTTAATTTATTTTCAATATGCAAATATAATTTTGATTATGTTATTAATTATTAAAATAATCGAATAGACGATTTGAAAAAAAAACAAATCTAAAAGAAAATTGAATCAAACCAAATTTATTTTAGCTCGAATTGAGTTGCACGTTTACAAAATCGATAATCGAAAAATCGAAACAAATACAAAATCAAATCGAATGCACACACCTTAATTAAAATCTTTTAATTTTGTCCTACAATAACGTATTGGATCTGAATAAATAAAAAGAAGGAAGATATGTAACAAAGTCCTAACATGTTCAAGATGTTATTCATTCAAAAACTTTTGTAAAAATGGTTCACCACTACTCTATCCATTTCATTGTTAATCGTTGCCTCCTATCATTATCAACTATTATCGTCCATATCTACAACCACAATCATTGTCGTCATCAATCATCAAAATCAATAGTCTCTACAATAAATCCTCAGTTATATATGATCACAACCATTAACCAACATTACCATAACAACAACACTATCAACAACCATGTGTCACTTATCACTGCTTTTAATCATCCCCATCAATATAAGTTATCACATGTATCCAACTTTAGTTATTCCGTTGTCTCCACTAGCTAATTACCATCAACCACCACCACAACTACCATTCATAACTACTACATATTATTAACCATTATCACCATCCGTTATAATATATCCACAATCATCACCAGTTACTATGTATCCACAATTACCATTAGCTACGATGTATCCACAATCATCATTATCAATTACCAAATCGATTGGTTGGAGTAGGCATCCACAATTACCATTATCATTTCCACTAACAACCATCATATAATTCTCTCAAAATATTTGTAAGTTTTGGATCGTGGGTCGCACATGTTGACCGATCCGATTTGATCCAAGAAGTTGTTTGATAAAGAATAAGAACGAATCATCTCTTATTTGAAAAAGAAAGGGGGAACAGTTATTAAACTGAAAAACTTCCCAACCCCTCTTGATAAGATGATTTATTCATTTACAGTCAAAGAAGAAAAAGACAACGTAAAAATAAACAATAAAAAGATAACACAAACCAAAAGAAGAAAAAAAAACCTTTTCTTTTTGAAGATAGACATTTTGGTTTGTGAATCAAACTTTGTTTCTTAGTGATTCAAAGTGAGACTTTGGAGCAATCCTGTTAAAGTAGCAAAATTAACGACTTCCGCTGCAAAATATAAGGTACACAACTCGTCGATTTTGTTTTATATATCTAACAAATGGTATCAGAGCCATATTATTTTGCTCTCTGTTTGAATATTGTTTCTTGTAGTTTGTTGTTATAAGATAGTTATTAATAATATCTGTCAAATTTTGTGCAAAAAAACTCTTAAAATAAATCAGAGAGTACATGTTACTCACTTGTTAAAAAGCATAGGAGAACATATATTGATTGAAAATTAGAATCCATTATTGTGTCTTTTGATTTTGAATCAGATACGTTGTCTGAGTCCCGTGAATTCAGGCTTTATTTTTTTTCCATGAATTTCCAGAGAAGTAGAAATATTGAAAATCTGATTCCTTGTGGAAAATAAAAAGAAAGGGATCGATAATTTTGTTCCAACATATCTGATATTATCTAGTGTTCTCTAAAGGATAAGAAAAAATTGTGGGTAGGGTTCTTTTTTAATGAAGTTTTTTGTTTCTTAAGATGATATATGACCTTCTTATAGTAACTAAGGCCCAAAGTCTTGGTTGCCACGTTTATAAAAATAAATAAATTAAGTAATGTTCTTGTATGGGTCTTGAAAAAGTCTATTTTCCCTTATTTTCTCAAAAGTTGTTCCTTAAAAAGTATTAGTACTATTTTGTTCTTTTATAAATAAATACAAAATCAAGTAGTATTGATACTTTACTTCTTGGAAAGAGCATGTACCTTAAATTAAATATTATATATATTAGAAGAGAGTGTTTCAAAGGCTGCTTATTGGTCATTCAATTGGCAAGTGAGGATATTTTTGTCATTCCAACTTCTCAAAGTGATAAGTATTGCATAGAAAAATTGTACTATGAGCCTTATTATTTGGACCTTCTTAACATCTTTAGAAAAAATCCTACACTTTTCTACTAAATTACATATTATGCCTTCTATCATTGAGTATAGTGGGGTCCATTTAATTTTACAATTGACACCTATACAATGATAACTTTATTGAGTTTCTATATATTTCCATTTTTATTCTCTACATATTAAATTGTTTAAATTTAATATAGTTAAATAATTTAATAAAATTTTATTATTTAGCTTTTATATTCAAAAAAAATTATTTTTTAATATTATATATATATCATTAAATAACTATATAAGATTATTAATAGTCATATTTATATTTTTAAAGTATAATTAATAAAATTATTATTTTTAAATTAACTCCTAATAAATAATTTATTAAGAAAAACGTCAAATTAATTTAAATTATTTCTTTTTATTATACTTTACTTTACTTTACTTTTACTTACTTATATAGAAGAGACAGCAAGATGACTGATTTTTGCCATCTTTATAAAAGAATAAGGGTCTTTTGGTCATTTACACTACCAAACTCATCAATAAAGGCTGCATACATGTCTTAATACTGCTTTGGAAGAGACACGTAGCAATGCTGCCAAACTGATGTGCATTTAGGACATTCTATGAGAGTTGATGCTCTGTCTCTCTTCTTCTTTATTTTGCAAAGCAAAAAAAATCAAGTTTTTCTGTATGGTTTTCCTGCATGTGTTGTTGTTGTATAGGTAAATGATTATATTGTGTTATTAAGAAATGTGCAGTTTTTTGTTATCTTTTTCTGCTTTTTGGTTATATTTTTGGGTTGTGATTTTGAAATTTCTCTCCATCTTTCATAAATTTTAATGAAAATCAAGACCCAATTCGATTCTTCTGTTTTAGATCTGTAGGGTTACCGGTTGGACTATAAGAATTGCGTCTTTGTTGAATTCAAAAATTTGAGATGCTCTTTGCTTCTCTGTTTCGCCTCAAATTTGTCTTTGATGTTGCCATTGATTTTTAATAAAAACAAGTGAGCACCGTAAGTGATTGCATATACACTATTAGTTAGTCTAATCAATACAATAAGCTTATCATTGATGTACTTGCGTATACGTAGCAATATCATTCCTTTAAACTTATTGATTCTAAGCTCTTGGGATGTCCCACACAATTTTTTTCCATTGTTCGAGTTAGATTTGAGAAGAGGTAAAACATGCTAAAGTGTTTGACACTTTCAAGACATAGTTCAACAGCGGGTCAATGTAAGTTTTTTTTTTTGAACTCTTGAATGTATCATTTGAAGTGATTCTCGATATGTGCAGGGTGTCTTTACTTTGGGCATTATAATCTATTCCTCAAAAGGTCTTCGGTTAAAAGAGAACAAAACTATGATAAAAGACTATAAATCTTAAGCCACAATTGAAGTCACACAACTAGACTATTCCATTATAGTACAAAAAATCTTCCATCTTATAGATTTTGCTGGGACCATATTTATATATATATCTTGGCCTTTGTGTAGTTGTGGTTGATAGTTTGTTGCATTTACTTATATTACTAGCAGTGAAAGTAGTTTGATTATTGTGATCAATATACTGCATTAGAGCTCATATAGTTTTTCAGAGTATTATGATATATGAGCTACTTGAATTGTGTAATACAACTATGTTTGTCCTTTTCATTTATTAATCGATGCATTGGAGGTAGTTTGGAGATAGTTCTCTTTACAGTCAATCACTTCTTAGTTTGCCAATAAAGAGTTGAATGATGAAGGAACTTCAAGTCAAAGTAGTGTCAGTCTGCAGTCATTTTCCTAGATGAACCACAAGAAGATTTGTGCTTGTGTTTTCTTTGTGAACTTAAAGAATAAACTCGATCGACAACTTTACTTGTATTTGTGTTTATGAATTTGTCTCTGCTTTGGCCGACCTCGAAAACAATAGCTATCTACCTAGCCTTATCAGCCTTGCACTTGGTTCTTAAGTCATTATATTGAAGTAATTGTACACTTGTTTTCATGTATGTACATACCTCCTATTTCAAGCAACTGTGATTTGATTATTTTTCCAATCTTGTAATTTATGAATAATATTTTTTCTTCTTCTCTCATATGTATCAGGTCTTAATCTTTTGATCAAAGATCAAAACAACTCAATTTGCATCTCAACTAACTTTCTATACAATGTATCACATTTTCTTATTATGTAAAATAAGTGTACATAACTATCTTGTAAAACTTAGTTCCTTAAAATAGCAACAAATGATTAATATGCAAGGTTATCTTACGCTACATACATGTAATCCAACTTTTAATTGATATCAAGTTATGATATTTATTATAGAAATCATTTCCTCATTTCAAAAGAAAAAAAAAACTTATTTTCTAGACGAAATATGTTGCAAAAATT